TATTAAATTCTATAGAATACTTTTGTATTATAATCTGGTTTAGAATTGTACAATGTAACATAAAAAATTTCACCATTATCAAAAAAGTTTTAGTCTTGTGCAACCTTATCAAAGCCAATGTGTTCATCTTTACATTTTTATACATAACTGAATTTATATCTGACTAAAGTAAGATTTAGAATCTCCGATTTTAGTATGTGTTTTGCAAATGAAAGGTCCTCATGTAATATGAACGCACACCAAATCTAATTCCTGTAGCTCAAACGGTTTAGAAGATATCAATTCCTTAAATTTTTAGGCAATGACTGCGGATTGAAATGAAAGTCAGAGTGAAAGTTGGTGAATCTAACCAGTAAAAATAAATTCTACAACACTATTCAAAAGAAAATTAAAAACTGTCCCCTTAAGCACCTATTTGAAAGCATTGAATTTTTGTTTGCAACTTTTTAAGTAAAGATTTGAACAGTATTGGGTCCATTACCGTTACCTTCCTAACAGAAGTTGATGTGGCTGTCACTAAACTTGGTTTAAAGCTTACACCCCCTGTTGTGGAAAGGTTTTAGTCACATTTCTTATAATGTTTTTTCTAGTATAGATAAAGAAATTTCATTGAAATGGTACTTTACTTTTAGGAAAACATGATTCTACCCCTCTTGTTGACCCAAAATCATGGAGTTTATTATTTCTAAACTGTTTAAGGGGGTCAGTTGGAAAAAAGAGCACTTTTCCAGAAATAAATTCTTTTGAGACCCTCCCCATAGCTTAAAATGACCAATAACTGTCCTAATTGAGTTTGCCTTGAGGTCATTGGACCTAAAATAACATTCGATTAGGCAGAATGACTCATCCTTATGGTAGAAAAGGCATGTCACAACAGACATTTGTGTGTCTTTGGTTAAAAAGTTTGCGCACATGATTTCCCCGATAAAAATTGACTTACAAATCTGGACAATAGCTTTTTAGAATCAGTGTCACGAAGGCTACAAATTGTCACATGCATTTGGTTATATCTTGTAAAATAAGGAAAGTCAAATGTTGTTTTTTTTTAAAACAAAATGTAGAAAGTTTGAAAGTTTTCAATCTCACATATTTACATCTTATACATGATTTCCCTCTTAAAAGTAATTTATGATTTATTTGCTACTTGAGTAACACTCACACTCACCGCAATTCATAACACAAGCTGTGGTTGATCCTATCCTTGGCTTGTATCGTGGAACTTTCTCTTGTAAAATTTAGATGGGCGTCGTCCTATGGAAAGTTACATTTATTAATAAATATTCATTACCAAATGTTGTTAAAAGAAAGAATGCAAAGAGAAATATTTTTTCAAAATAACTGTACTGTTATTATTATCAAACTTCAGGCAAAGTAGAGGAAAAGACGGTAAACACAAGTTTGTTCATACCTTTACTGTAGAAATGAAGTTCGGTCCTGTCCTTGGCTTGTATCGTGGAATGTTTTCTTGTAAAATTTAGATGGGCATCGTCCTATGGAAAGTTACATTTATTATTAAATATTCATTACTAAATGTTATTAAAACAAGGAATGCGAAGGGAAATATTTTTCCAAAATAACTGCACTGTTATTATCAAACCTAAGGCAAGGTACAGGAAAACACGGTAAACACAAGTGTGTACATACCTTTACTGTAGAAATGAAGTTGGGTCGCCTACTAAATCCAAATCCTCATGATGTTTTCTTTTGCTTGCAGCACATTTTAAAGTTGCACCCATCAGAATATTTGAGGTTTTCTTTACCAAAGTAGAATTAGAGATGTGTTTGTAGGGAAAGGTTAGGTCCCACATTTGAACATGAATCCAAACCGTTCTGTCGTCACTAACACTTTCCTAACATTACTACATGCACAAATCACCTCGGTAAGCAATATTTAATGTTTCAAGCCCTGGGAATCGGACTAGAAACTTCTAAAACAGGAAGATTTAAAGGTGCCTTCTCTTCGAGCACATGGTGCCGGTAAAGGGTAAACAAGCAGAAGCCCGCACAGCCTTCCGCTTCCCGACCTCAACCTACCGCCGCCCTGGCTCGGGCGGCGCGCAAATTCAAACTGCCCCTGCCGTCACCACTACAGACAGACACGGATGCGCCCACTTTAGGACTAAGTCGTTACGAGTCGGAATTTGATTTCGCTGATAAATGAAGTGTTCAACCGGTAAACACTTGTAAGTGTGCAACTTCAAGGTAATAAATTCCTTAAATTTTGAGACCCAAACCGTTTGAGCTACAGAGCCCAGGGAGTGGATTCATACTTCAAGAAAACCTTTTATTTTCGAGACAAAAAACAAAATCAGTGGCCAAATCTGAAATCTTGGTTCGATTAAGAAAAGGCTTAATCTACGTTGGAGTTCGTTACTCACGGCCCGAAACGGCTAACTCCTAAATTAGTTCACACATAGGTAAAAAAAAAGTTCCACCATCTTTTGATATGTTGTTTGCCATCTCTCAAAACGTCTAGGCAACTTAACTTGAAAGGTACAAAATTTTGGTCAACACTTGTAAAAATTTTGCCTCGACCCACCAAAAGACAAGTTGAGTCGGGACTTAGAAATATTTCAGCTCGGCTCGCCAGAGTACAAGTCCGAAGTGGGAGGGGGAGTGTGGGGGGAGAGGCCGGCAGCTCGAGTGACTTATGTGATTCCTTTCGGGGGTCCGCGAGTGACTCGAGTGACTTAAAAAGGTGTGGCCGGGGCTGGCATAATCCGAGAACAATGCAGCAGGGAGGGCTATGTGACTTATTCGTGACTCGTTGGTGACTTGTGTGACTTATTCCTTCGCCTCGGGTTACCCGGAAGTACTGTAGACAGCATATTTTACAAGTACAATGCACTTCATCAGAAGCTTCTTTGTCAACGCTGTTCTCTTTTTTTAATGTTGACCCTATAAGAAAGGATATGCCCATTATCAAATATTTATTATATCTATTGTACGTTAATCAACGGAACTCACCTTTGTGAATGTCCTGTTTACCGTAAGCTCCTGTAACAATTTACAGACTGAAGACACTTACCTGGAAGTACTGTAAATAATCTATTGTGCATGTGATATGTGCTTCATCACAAGCTAGTGTACACGACCTATTTTACAAAACAAAAAATACTTTAACATACGCATTTGCTCATATACAATCGTATCATAGTACTAACATAAAGTGGATACGGAGTCTAAGTAGAACCTGTTTGTATTTTAGTTTTGAAAGGTCCTTCGTAGATGCTGTCCTAAAAACATCGTCTTATGTTGACCCTGTAAAATGTTTTACATAAGTTTATTATAAGCGCAACTAATCATAAGTTCTAAATTGTATGATCATTAATTCATGCAGCTGACATGTAATACTTCTATACAAAATAAGTCTTTCAGAATTTACTTACCTAACAAATTTGACTCTGCCCTCAATAAAACCAACTTTGCAACCATCTCAATGTATGTATTATGAAACAATATCATTACACTTACCTTTTTTTCTCTCAAGCTAATTCTAAAACAAAGTGACGAGTATTCTTTAATTTAGGTTAGAAACTTAACGTAGTTTTTACATCAAAGTATTTGTAACATCACTATTTAATAGTATCAATTTGGAAAGATTTAGAATGATTGCTTTAAAAGTTCTTATGACCGAGATCGTACTGTCAGTATCCCAACCGAGTCACTAACTTTTTGTCGTTTTACAAAGGTAATGGTTTTTTTAAATAACAAAGAGGTCGTATAGTTAAAGACGTTTTTCGCTAATGACATAATTTTCAACACTGTTTGCGCAGTTTTCTAACCTTCTGTAACCGAATATACACATGAACGCATTTCTCAAAACCGTGGAAGGAGTCATTGCAATGTCTTAAAAATTAACTCCGCCAATAAGGTGTACCAAAACTTAGGGGCCGAAGGTCCCTAAAAAACGTTGGCGTCCAATTAAACCGTACATCATGTGACAGCGCCGCAGGCCAAGGTAGATGTGCGCCAGGCGCGTCGCAGCGCAACAGTGTTTCGTGAGATATCGCGAAGCCTGTTACGCGAGACGTGGTCTGGCGTACATCTACCTTGTATTCTTTTGTAGCGTTCCGTCTAGAAAGTTTTACGATGGAATATCCTTGCCATGTGAACGTTGATGGTCCAAAGCGTGATCGAATTGAGACATCGGTGAGTATTGAGTGAGCACACGCGGTGATCGTGGGGGAGAGGTGGTCTACCATAACCTGTTCATACATTTACCTTCAACAAAGAAGTAACGCCTCTAAATCTGCACTGTTGCAATATTTCCTTGGACTATAAGACGTTCATAACGATTGTATGCCATTGGAAAAATGATCATGACTACTGTTCCTGCATGTCATACTGCGACTAACCTAAAGGTGCCCCCACAATGAACGCGAGGCGAGGCGGCCAGGCGATGCCGATGCCGTGCCTGCGGGCCGTGCTGGTTCGCGCGGCGCTGCGCCTGCGATCGTCTAATTAAAGCTATTTTAGCATGAAAGTGGGTGAACCTTTTCCTTTTTAGAAAGAGGACATTGTGTGGATTATTATTCTGTAAATTAGTATTCTGAGTCCCTTGAAGCCTTTTATTTGAGAGGGGAATGGTTTGGAAATAATGACTCGAATTGGAATAGTCAAAGGCCGTTTTGAAGTTGTGAGTTCTTATGTTCGGCGTCATCCTAGACCTGAACATGCAGCGAGCCGACTGTTCGCTAGACTTTTTGCTCTTCATTCCTCTTTGTATTCGTGTGATTCAATGCCTAGTTCTCGAGAAATAAACATTTATCTGCTGCGCACCGGGCCACGGGAGAACTACATGGTGACATGGCAGCAGATAAATGTTTATTTCTCGAGAACTAGGCATTGTTAAAACCACTCAGCCACCCAAACAAACGGAGGAAGCACGACCGACAGCTTTAAATGTAGCCGGTCGACATGAGTCTCTTTAACCGGTACCTGGCTCTCGTATTATTGTTATCGCGTCACGTGTTTGAGACTGTATGTGGCATTATATTAAATAACCCCCGTGAACTGACGATTTAGCGGTATTTCTGGTAAATGACGTTGACGATCTAAAACCCCTACGTGCGCGTGTCTTTGGTCACAGCACATTACTCGCAGTGGACTGCCCATCCTCGTCCTGGACGTCCTGACCCAGTACCTCTCCGTGCAGGACGTCCTCAACCTGTGCGAGGCGCTCCCGTGGTTCGGCACCTACGCGGGGCGGACCTCGGCGAGGAGGTGGTGGGTCAAGCGGACTCTCTACCCTCTGCGCAGCGTCGGCGACGACAGCAGTGGTGACCTGGCCTTCGTGGAAGGACTTCTGCAGCGCGGCCCGGGGGCCGACATGCTGAGCGTCTGCGCGCCGCATGAAGGCATGCCACCCGTCGTTGCCCTGCGCTTCGTGAAGATGGCCGAGCAGCATCGTAGGGGCCTCCTGCTCATCCTCTGGGGTTTCGAGGAAACTCCGTTGCAGCACGTCGTGGACCGTATGTTGCCAAACCCTTCACCGTCTCCACCTCTGCCTCGGTGCTCAGGACTTGGCGATCGATACACTGCGGTTCGGGGCCCAGCTGCGCTCCCGTGACATCACGGCCGATGGAGTTGGCAGGGTGACGGGCGTGTGGCCGACGGTGAGATTACAGCGCCGTGCCTTATGTTAATACCTATACGTACCTCCGTGCGTGTCCATGTCGAAGTGCGTTCCGTTCCCCAGACGTCATATGTATTTTTGCACTATCCCGCAGGACGTGGTGCTGCCCCTCCTGCGCAGCGTGCGGTTTACCTACTGTATTCAATCCCTGGGTGCCCCAAATGTCGTGATTGGACTGGTGAACGCACACATGTGAGTAGTGTCTGTGTGTGTGTGTGTTTGTGTGTTTATGCGCCTGCGTGGGTGTGGCCCATCTTAATGTCCACTCTCATTTTTCTACTAACCGCAGGGCGAATCTCAAGGACATCGCCATCGTTGAGGTTGCTGAAGCACTGTCGTGAACAGAAGGTCGTGAGAAGTAGTATGTTAATTTGCTCACACATACGAGAGCCGCCCTGCTCCTCCCTCTATTTCGTGTGTATTTCTTTATAATTGTTTGTTCTGTTTGATATGATTGGTGTCAGAGGCGCTGACACAGACAAGAGCCGCCCTGCGCCGCGGACGGCGCCCTCTGTCCGGATGCTTCTGAGCACCTCTCAGTTGCAACCGGAGTGCCCGCGGCTGCCTACCGTTGGCCCGTCGGGCGGCGTCCTCTGTGTGGATGCTCATGAGCAGATCTCATTTGCAACCAGAGTGCGTGCGGCTGCCTACTCGTGGCCGGGCGGGCGGCGCCCTCTGTCCGGATGCTTCTGAGCACCTCTCAGATGCAACCGGCGTGCCCGCGGCTGCCTACCGTTGGCCCGTCGGGCGGCGGACAGACACACAGACAGACAGACAGAAAAAGTTTTTTCCGACCAGACAGAGTAATAGGCTTCGCTAATCGCTCAGCCAAAAAATCAACGTTTTAGTGATACTAGATACTCTAGGGACCTTTAAGCCCAAAAGAGGGTGTGGTGCGACCCGCAATGTGTCGTAAAAGTATAACTCCCTTTTCAATTCTGTGACATGAAGCCTTTTTTACGATTTAATAGACCATTTTGTCTTTTTCACGTTCTTTTCGCCAAGAAATGCCCAATAGCGCTGAAACGGTACGTAGCTATATGTACGTCCGACCACGTCTCGCGTAACAGGCTTCGCGATGTCTCACGAAACACTGTTACGCTGCGACGCGTCTGGCGCACTTATAGCTACGCCTGCGGCGCTGACACCCGAGACGAGTTAAGGAGAGGGTATAGGGGAACAGGGCCTTCCGAGACCAAAATTTGACATACTCCAACCATTTGTCTGGGCCTTTTTACTCTAAAATTAGGGACATGAAACTTCTGCTGTTCGGTAACGGTTTTCATTAAAAGTTCGAATTTTGACAGAGTGTCATGTAAAAATCAACGTTTTAGAGATACTAGATAATCTAGGGACCCTTAAGCCCAAAAGAGGGTGTGGTTTGCCCTGTGGTTAGTCCCTTTACAATTCTGTGACATGAAGCCTTTTTTACGATTCAATATACCATTTTGTCTATTTCACGTTGTTTTCGCCAAGAAATGCCCCATAGCGCCGAAACGGTACAAGATAGAGCAAAACGGACGAAATGTTTGCCCACTCTACTTTACGCTCTACTTTCACGAGTTATCCCTTAGGAACCCATAAAAAATTATTTGTACAAAATACATTTTGCGACCTGCGGTTTTAGATTTATTTTTTAAAGCCAATTTTTGAGCTAGAATGCCCATCTTCGAACTCGATCTGCCTTTCTGTGATACAAAACTACCCTAAAATTCCCAGATCGCTATCTCAATTGATTCTCTAGTTAGCTGAGCGATTAGCGAAGCCCATTACTCCACTGACCGGAAAAGTTTCATTCTGTTTGTCTGTCTGTCTGTCTGT